ATTTCAAAAAGTAATCAAAAAAGTTGTCCTCTTTTAACATCAATATTTGGGTATTGCTTCAATTTTGCGGAGACTGCGTGCGATAGACTGCATGAATTTGATCCTTTTTAGCTCATTTTAAACTTCTTTGCTTCCTAAAGATAACAATCAGAATCAAATCGGTTTTTACTGTCGCTAGCCTTCCTTTTTGGAGGGTAATTATTCCTTTAGGTATTTTGTGTAAACGGAATGTTCAGTACCTCGTACATGACCCTTAAAATGTACGTGACAGTCAGTACAACAGTCTACTTTTTATCAGAGGGCCACGCTGAAAAGTGTCCTTGTGTCATCATTTGGTGAGTGAGAGATCAAATGATACGAAAATGTGATGGTTCCATTATTGTACATCCTCCAGAATTATACGACAAATTGAATTTCGCACGATGAAAAATTTTCTCCGAAAGATGTTTTAAGTCCAAAACCCCAGGGTTTCCACAATTCCGGCATAGTTTAGCTCGCATAAATCTATGGTTTCGGTTACCCAATGACAAATTCTGTTCCATAGCAAACTTAATACCACAAGGGTAAACGTGCCAGAGCTATGCTACTGAATAAACTATTTACCAAAAACGATGATTGACCGACAGTTGGTGCGACCATGGTATTCTAAAGTTACATTTCAGGACTTGCACGAGTAGATTGGTCAGAAAATAAAACGGTTCTGACGTTGTTTAATTTTTTTCACTGCTAATAATTCCGGATAATATAGTGCCTCCCCGAATACGCGGACCACATGTAAATCTAGTGGATCGAACGGACAGCCAAACGGGTTGCTGAACAGTAAACATGAAACACATTTATCTGCGCCGCGATATAATATTTTTATCGTTGCACAGTATTCATGGATAGCTCTTGCGCTCTACGCTAATGGCAGGTTCGCTGGTCAAATCCTGATGTTTTTATCGCCTTTTTCTGAACATCAGGGAATCCCGGGCTTTAGCGCTTGGCTTTCTCTAGTTGTGACTGCAAAAATTCATCAAAACATACAATCCAGCTATCTATGAACGTTATCAAGAGAATGTCCATCCCATGGTTTATGGACGGTGTATCGTGGCTAGGTCCCTAATGACTGTCTGCTAACCAAATGGCGCAAAGCTTGAAAGGTCAAAAATCCCGGTTGAATGGGACCGGTTTCCTATCAGAGCATCAAGCTAAACGTCAGAGCTACGGATGTTGGGACAGCCGAACTCAAGCTGGCGATTCCCGTCAAATTTACGGCGATAGATAAGAACTGACAGAGTTTGAGTTAGCTTATTTATTCAATGACTGCAACATCCTGACTGCTCTTGTTTGGGACTCGGCAACTCAGAAGTATTTCAACCTTCATGCTCCCTTTAAAAATGTGATAGCTGGTCGTCGAAAAAGTGAACAGACCTGACTTGCTTTGTCATGAACTGAAGTGCTGATCACTATCTGTTTGCTGTGTTTATAAGCAAGTTTAATTTCTGAAATTGAAACCCTTAAATTATCAGAATGTTCCCTCCATTACAGCCACGGGTAGTGTAGGAAAAACGCTTGTTTGCGGTGGAACGACACTTGTGACAGCATCAAAAAAGGCTGCTACCGTAAAAACATAGATGTGACAAATTTGGTGAATTCACTTAATCGTGGAAGTATCCCAAATAGCACAGTACAAAGGTGAGTAATAAAATCTAACTTTTGCCAAGTTAGGTGACAGTGAGCCCGAAGTCATAGCTAACCCTGTACCAACCAATAGTTACTACCATAATGAGACCAAGTAAAGGAAAGTTGACCAGCCTTTTCGCAACCTGAGACGTCAACCGACGGAATGGTGTTGACTGTACATGGTCAACGTGTGCCAGTTGAAGACCTGAAACTGTTCATTAAAAAAATACGAAGCACTGATGAGGCCGATTCGTTTAGCAATAAGGCTGCCCAGCGGAAAAACTAAAGGATGGGGTGTGACCTGATGACAGCATCTTGATACTGCTTTTAGGAATCACACACATTGTAGTTCTCTGGCGAGCAATGGTGTTTTTCTCGCAGCAGTACGGTTATTTTTAATAAGTAGAGTACAATCCACAGGAAACAGGGTTTGAAACAAGCCATGTGTACGATTAACCGCTGATTATTTCGCTGAGCTGGGCAATTAGGTTGCACATATTTCACCACCAATCGAGATAACATCATTAGTGCGTTGTGGGTGGAAGCGTACTGAGGTTGCAAGTGCGCAAGTGCAAGTTTAATCCAAAAAACGCAAAATTGGTAGAACGCGGAAGTACGAGACACGTGAGATACATACGCCACCACGGGCCAGGGACCACCAACTCCACGGCAGCACTGAGTCAGCCTCGGCCATCAGACCAGCGGACGACAAAACGGGACCACCATTATGACACTTTCCAAGATTTACTGATAGAAAGCTGCTCCAAGTGGGGTACAGATAGCCGTATTTGCTCTTGATGAAAGCTACAAGAGCCGCAAAGGTCCTCATTTGAGAAAGTTAGGGAATATGTTTCACGGTACAAAAGTACGCACAAAAGGATGTGCCCTTTCAATCTTGTGGTTTAAAGTAACATGCTGGCACTTTGGTGAATTCTACTTTACAGAATCATGACTTACTTCAGCGCTACAGATTGTTTCATTTGTTTGGCACAAACTTGGTGAATATTTTCGGGACATAAAAAGAAGGATATTTTTCCTTGAATGCGACTTGCGACATGCTAGTTAGCACGCACATATCAAAAAATCATACAAATATATGTGTAATTCATGTTACTGCATTGCAGATGAAAAACCATAAATGCCTGCCGTTTATACGTTTTACTGAATGACTTTTATTGCGTATAACAACAATGAATTAGTTTTGACCCAGAAAACGTGGGTTGTTTCGTTAGCTTTTCAGATGGATCAGGAAGTGGTCGCCTTTCCTGTGGAGAGAAAGAGTAACACAATGTGTTTACGAAAGATAGAATACAACTCAGCTCTGTTGAGTACAAGTGGATCGAAAGCCAAAACATTTTTTGAAAAATTAGACCTAACCCGGTTACCTTACATGAACTATTCCTCAAGGGTACTTCCAAAGAATAGAAATTGATTTCAGCTGTAGTTTTTGTTGAACTTCAATTCAGTCATAGGTTTAGGCTGATTAGTAAGACCATTTTTATTGTGTGATTAGTCGGCCTACCGCAAAACATGATAAGAACTTTTATATCGATGAACTATGATGACTCGAGCCATTGAACTGCAGAGGAAAAGAATACGAATAGGACGACACCGGCGTTGTTGATAAGCTGACCTCGTCTGTCAAAGTTCTGCGGTCATATGTAATTCATATCGATCTCATCTCCTCTTAAATGACTGATATTCTTGACCGCGCCGTAAACACAGCATTTGAGGATGTTTTCCGAGGCACATTGCAATGCATCGCAAACGGTAGACTCTGTTGTTAATCTCAAAACCGAAAACGTCGCTGAGATAACGGGTAGAGCGTATGGGTATCCATGATAATTTGATTTTTTTGACCATATGAACACTCATTAGCCAACCGTCCCCATGCCACTGATATAGCAATATCGTTGCGTAATGTACGTAATGCAGAGAAATTAAGGTAAGACAGGCAACAAGTTTACGCCGTTTGGGTAGATAGTCAATCTGATTGGAGAAATTCAATCAGAGTACAGCGTCAGCTAAACAAACACATACACGGAGTGTCCGAGGCGGACGGTGGTGCCATTATCTAGACCACGATTTACTTTATTTGATCAATGCAACAACACCATTTTCATATATAATAAGCCGGTGCCGAGTAATTTCCGTGTCGTCAGGCTGAGCATCATCCTCCAAACTCATTAACTGTATTTTACTACAACATATCGCCTTAGATCTGTTTATTTGAACCCAATTTATTTTCTGCTTCATGCATACTTTCAAATGACCTACCCTGATATTCTGGACATTCCAGCACTGCTGGATTCGACTCTTTGTGTCCATTTTGCATGGACCGCGCTGAATAATATCTATCACTTTGGAGGTATCTCATGAGTAGGACGAACCATCATACCGTATAATGTATAAACTTTGGCTCGCAACTGTTCAGATGTCCCAAAATTAGTCGCCATTTATAAGCCACCAGTTGGTCGGGCTGATTACCCTACAGCCCAACATCTGATTCTATAATCACTGGTTTACACAGGGTACGGGGTTTTAGTTGGGTACGCATTCGTGAAAGGCATGTTGCTCCACACATTACACACTGGTGTTTGTTAATGTGTTTCAGTGTAATAAATCTATTTGAAAATGGAAAAAACATTACACCTATATGGTATGTGAAGTGTATGTGGTATACGATTGATATATATATATATATATATATATAAGGCACTCAGCCGTGCTACGGAATGAACAACAGGCTTCTACAGCACTACTACAGATGTCCGGATTATTTTGAATCCCGAGACTTACAATTCAATGCAGGATTCTCGCTTGAGCTCGGCATGCTCAGACCGTTTAAGCAGTCGAGACGCAACGATGTGTTATTCTTTTCACCTCGGGCTAAAGGACGAAAGCGTGAAGGTACCACTGACCCACAAGGAAGCCCAGAAACCTAGAAAACGGTATCGCAATGAATCGGTTCAACTTTATTATATCAATGGCTTCATGGGCAATAAAGACTCACAAAATATAATCTGCAACATCCATTTGCGCGCACTTTGACAACACAGTAAAAATGTCAAGAACTCATGCGTCTAGTCAGCAGGAGATTACACGGAATTCCCTAGGGTCAACGTTACAGTATTCATGCAGAACACAGACCAAAAAGGTGAATCTGTTTTCCGGGAGCTTTGAGTCTTTTTCTCCAGTTTTGTTTGGTCTGGAGATTCACTTTATTTCAGACTTTAATAGTGGACACCACAAACTTGACTTTGACGATATCATATGGAGATAGAATAGCTTATTCTGAAACACAAACACTGAATCATTGTTGTCGGAAGCGGATTCTAAAGTCGTTTCACGAAAATGAACTCATTGTAATGTTGCCAACGGGCTTCTTCTTCATCCTGTATAAACTTCACCTCATTGGCCATACCACTTGTGCCGGAAGCGCATGCGGTTACCAACTGATAACCGTCGTTGTAGAGCACATCGAAACATTGCTCTAGGATACAGTGTTTAAGAAAAAACCTGCTTGAATAAGCACTTCCGGTGTCTGGATCTCTCGTGTCGTTTAGTGTGTCCCCAAACAGTCGACGACATTCGGCAGTCTGTCCGGCCACCAATATTCTTGCCAACTTCCGGAACCGCAGATCGGTAGAGCCATCCCTAGATGCACTGAATGTTCCACGATAACCGACGGTAACGCAAGAGTAACGAGGTTCCATTTCTCTACTAATGATGTCCACAAGTTTGTTGAGTTCGTAGAAACTGGCTTCCTCTTTCAAACGTTCTAATTCATCGAAATTTCGTGGAATGCACAATTTTCCGTAACGACAGTAATCCAGAATATATCGGAACAAACTCGGATCCCGGTCAATAAACAAATTATGATTTACATCACGCAGCGCGGACGAATTAGTCAATAATTTAGCCAAATAGGATTCTGGGTTATGTTCCAGTGTTGTTCTAGTTGTTGTGTACAGAGTGCCACCAACGTTTAGAGTCAACACCTGTGAGGACATCAGGAAGAATAGAGTTTTCCAAATACGACTATTTAGAGGTATCCGCTGACGGTAAATCACCAACCTTTTTAAGCTCTGACTGCGGAAGTTTTTCGACCAGTCACAACACAACCTAAATATCCGGCTCCGATTGGATCAGGTTGGATCACGTAGACCCCTTTAAATGCAGACACGTTTGGCGTTGGGTATCATTTCGTTGCACCGAATTGTCTGCTTGTGCTCTCGTCCAATCGCAAAAAGTTTAAAAGAATTGCTTTCTACTCACAGATGCCTCTGACTTCTCAGCGCTTAATTACGGTCAGTCTTTCATCTCTCAGTGGACTTCCCGCGAGATTGCTCAGCATGCCTAAAGCGTCTTACTTTCTTTGCTGTGGCTGAAAGTGTGATGATCCTATAAAATTTTCTGTCCGGAAGGTTTTAATGATTAGTTTGCAAAACTTTGGCCATCCTTTGTCGTTTGCTGGGGAATTTATCAAATTCAATGCATTAAGTTAAGTCAACCTTTGTCTAACAGCAAGGGGCATTGTTTTCCTCTTACAGCCAAGCATCAACAGAATGTTTGTGGAAGTATTGAGCCCTCAGCCGTCCTGTGAGTAGCAGGGCGCTTCTCAATAAGATTGCAGGTAGCTGCTCAGCAGCGTAAGTCGTTCTCAGACAAGTCATGGCACCACCGCTCATTGATCACTTCTCTGACGACGTGTCCAAATTTAGTAACGTTTTGAAGAACGAAGAATGCATCCATTTTACACTGGGAGCTAAAAATACTCCATTATTTTGATTAAAAAACTCCCCACATTCCATAAACATAATTTTTATTACCCTTCTTATCCCATCATATGTTATACCCTTTTAATTTGGGTAATACACTAGGTGTTAGTCTCAAATTGTTTATTTAACCAATCCAACCTCTTCATGCACCGATCTTTCACTATTTATCAAGCACCCAGGACTTATTTACAAGATGAGTGTGCTGCTTTCATACAAGATAATCCTGGATTGTACTTATGCAACATCAATTCTGCACTTCTTGTTTTGATTTGACCATAGTAGCATTATCTGGAGACTATATTTAATACGGCTGGTCCTTCAGCAAATGAATCTGACCAGTAAATGGTCAAAGATGTCGTGAGTAATTGCTCACATTTGGCAAGAAATTCGAAAGAGCGGAGCTTCTTCCGAGCTACCCAAACCTAAATGGAAGAAATAGGTAAGTCAACTTTGATTTTGAACCGCGAACTCTTCGGTGAGAAAATTCAAACCCTAATCGAGATTCAAAAATAGATGCCCTCATCTTTCTAGCGTTTGAATCACCTTTCTTCGAGAAACAACATGCCTCTTTTACAGAACAGTATACCAGTTGATAACTGCCAATCACTGATCCCTCCGTTCTTCAGCATCCTGGTCATCTCAATTGACGGTACCACGCACATAGTCTCAGTCCCTTTATCTTTGCTATTTATGTCAAACAGAAGTGATACGATGTAGCTGGATTCAGTGCTTTTTCCGGTAACACCGTAATAGACCAGTCAACATATTACACACTCTGTTGTGATAGATAATGAGTGCAATTCTAGATGTACTATAATATTTTCCTACTCTATCACACTGAATTAGTGCTATGTGAGACACAGAATATTTCACGTATCCTTTAATTGGCTTGGTCCAGTTCGGGTAAACGGGTCACCGGCAGTCGTACTGAGTAGTATCATCGTTTCAAGTTTTTTTTTAAATATCAGGGCTTATTGTTGAAGCATCTGTAGTTTCTTTAACGTGGTTCCCGCTGTGTTGCCATAGTAATTTGTAATTCCCAACACAGCCATTGGATATGCACTACTAATGAGCTCTAATAAGGGCGAAACTCGAGTCCGGTGTTTCCCTTTGGTGTGGACTCACCGGAACAACTACGCCGGAACAGGAGGACGGCCGTTCAAACGAGAGTGGTGTCACTACGAACGAATAAATTGTAAACACTAATGGAGGTGGGGATGTCTGGGCTTAATTAACGAATCCTTTGATAAGATCAAAGATGGATAAAGAACCGATTTTGCTGTATTATAGTCTATTGATTTGGGGCTCAATTGTCTGTGAAAGTGAAGCTTCACGGGGGGATATCCTGTTGTGCAAATCCTGCAACATAATTTCAAACTTTGGGCTAACTCTGCCCTCAAGGTTACCTCAAAGAGAAGAGTGCCCCTTCGTTTATTCTTTCTTTCATTGCTACAGGAGTTTTCAGAGCTAACGATCAAACCAACATTTGATGTATTTGTGGAATAATGCAAAACACGCTCAAGCTGTAGCAATTAAATCGTCGTAGGTGACCGGGGTTTGTGTGGACAGTCAAGTAGCTACGGTAAGTGTCGTGAGCCCTAGTTACTGCTTTCAAAAAAGACTATCAAAAATCCACTGCTTAGATTAACTAGCAAATTACAGTAGTGTGTCTCGTAAGCCATAGGGATGCTCTGAAAATAAATGGGGCATTTGGATAAAAAAAAGCCACCTAAATTAATGAGTATTGAAAAAATAACACATTATGTACATATATATACATATATACAATACTCACTCAGATACACCTTTGGGAAAATTCACCATTTTTATCCTCCACCTATCATGTAACAACAGCTGTACTAATAGATAAAAAATCAAAGATACTATCGGTACATCAGATCCAACTGATAATCGTTGTTTTGTTTGCCAAGGAAGGAGGTTTGCTCTCAGAATTATCACCGGGCCGGATGACGTCAGCGCCTTTTGAGGGGTATTGGTGGATTTTACGAAATCACGGATGTTGGTAATGAAATTTTCGCAAATAAATTGCTTCTGCCAGAAAACAGAATTTCTCCTTTTTCGACCGCCCCTGAAAACCAAAAAAAACAGTCATTGAACGATGGACCGGATAGTGACCGGAGGACTCAATATGTTTGCACAGAATTTTGACCATCCAGAACCCAGCCCACGTGTTCTGATGATTTTTGGACACAAATTTGGTTGCAGCGATCCTGATTGCTCCCATCATGCGCCGTGTCCTGCAAAGTGCGCGTTTATATCCATCAGTAGGCAGGATTGGATCTACAGGAGTTTGGCAGAAAACCACAAATTTGAGGCAACTTAAACTAGCAATAAATCTATTTGGTTGGTTTTAGTAAAAGCCATTATTATCGTACAGAACACCACTGTTGACAAAATGTGTGCACAATTTGGAGCTAACTTCCACCGGTATGTTGCAAAGTAGGTGCCGAAGAAATACCTTGGAGGACCTAAAATCGGTAGACATGTATCCAGTTACTACTCGTTCTAAGATGTGTGCGGTTCTGAAGTTTTCGTCGTCAACCTAACATCTCGTCTTTACGGACTCCAAACTGGTCTTCAGAATTTCAGTGAGAAATAGCAAAACTTTTCGAGCACTCCCATGACTTGATGCAGTGTGATACAAAAAAAATTTGTCATTTAGATTACATCAAATGTCAAAGCTATATCCACATACAGCATTATTTTTGAACATGTTCAAATAAAGTCCGCGATGTGTCGTAAATAACGTCTGAAAAACCCTAATAGACTTTAAAAGGCTGAAATTAAGACATAATAGATTCGTCAAAAACGAATGAAATGTTTTGATGTTAGTTGTTTTAAAGGAACTGGGAGGCTTCAAAAAATTAGTACCTGGACGTGGTTGACATACATACGTTGGAATTTAAAAAACAAGGTAAACCAATCAAAGATGGCAGACGGTGAGTATACTATTTTTCTGCCAGGCAATTCTGGATTGTTTGTAACATTGACGGGTTTATCAAATTCCTCTGTTCTTCGCAGCTATAACCGCGTGCAAACTCATTATGATCCATGGACGTGCATTGTACAGAATGTCGTTGTAAACTAGACAAGGTCAACTGAATTTTTTATTTGGGAATTGGTAGACACAGAATACTAATGGTCTTGCCTAAATTGTTCAGTATGCAATCAACTTAGACCAGTAACTCTCTCGGATTATAGATCCGTTGGTCCTTCACTCGGAATGCGATTTCGTTGTGTCAGACGAGCTTATCTCAGGTTATTTGATCGGATCCAGCCATCCCATCACGACTGTGACGTAGCATTCCCAATAATGTCAACCAAAGCATTAATGATGTCTGAGGCGAGCGGTCCTAACATACGGAATTGAGGTGTTGTAGTCATAATTTCGCCCTATACCACCAGATCGATACGTAAGATGCAGACACAATGGTTTATATGGATGTCACGTCTCACACTGACCTGATTGAGAGCTGCATTTATTATTAATGAGGGGGGAACTTTGATGGATGAATAGAATAGGTCGAGCAGACTACTGAAGACAACACGGCGCTTCTAGGCATAAGACACTGCTTGTCAGTGTCACAGTACTTGTTCCCAAATTATCTTTGATTCGAATCTGTTTCTTCCCCCGATTCACCCGAAATAAGTTAATGTGTGCCTTATGACTTTGGAAATAAAACCGCCGTGCCAACAAATCCGAAAAATGACCCCGTGAGTTCGTAAATGCTAAAAAAGTTTTCTTACATCTTACATAATGAGAAGTTTGCTACAAACGTCCAATAAAGTAGGCAAATTAAGCGGAAGACTAGTATCCCCTAGGAAATTGAGGATCAGGGGTTGAAAGGCACGTGATTCGGCAAAGAGCAAGGCACCCAATTTGGAGAAGTGTTACCGTTTTCACCTATCAAATTGTGTTCATCACCCGTCTTTCAGGGCTCCGCCAAAGAAAGCTCGACACCTGTGAATTTCGGGCAAAAACACTTATTGGTTCTTTTTAAAACGTAAATGTACACCTAAATTCCATAAGAGTTAAAACCTACGTTAGAGATGGAATTATCCGGTGGTGAATTGATTTATCTGGCAAGTAACAGGAAGCCAACGTCACATTAAATCGAAGCTAAAAGAGGCAAACCAGTTTGGCAAACCAAACATAGATCTCTAGTCATTAAGGTGCAACTTGCATCAACAAAAATCGTTAGCACAGACTA